GAGGGGAATATGGATACTTATCCTTATGAAAAACTCCAATAATTCAGTTATATTGAAGATCGAGAAAACAATGGTTCTAAGAAATGTCATGAAATTATAGAATGAAAGAAATCCTAGCAGCAGCATCTTAATTTGTGTTGACCTGAAATAAAAAACAGTATTAAATTATGAAAAACAGTTTAATTTGATCTGAGAAGTTCCAATGTTATCAGGTGTATTCTTTTTGAATCTGGTAATGTTAATATGAAGTAACATTGAAACAATTCTATGTTCAAAGTAGAACATCAACTTACTCTCGGTATACATTTGGTATATTTCTGATCGAATGCTCTCTTTGACGCTTTCCCTTGAATCAGCTGTCTACAACTTCTTACGCTTCCGTGTGACAGGGGTAATTTCAGAGTCAACTGGACCATCCTTATATTTATAGACAGTGGTGTGACTCAGTTTTAAAACCTTAGCTGTCTCCTAGAAGGGCAAGGAAACAGTAAATTACAATTTATTTATTAAAAATTAAAAAAAGCCACTCGCTTCGAAAATATCCCCTTCCAAAACTTGTAACTACATTTATTTTTAACCATTTATGAAATGTTGTCATTACTGACCGGACGGAAAATGGAGCAGGGAAATATTTCCCGTTCTCATTTTCCTCTTCATTCGCCGACCTCATTTGGTTGCCCCGAATTTTTTTTTTTTCAAGAAATGATGGTTAAAAATAAAATAGTATACAACCCTCGACGGGAAACTTCATTGCTGTCTCGAGGTTCAGTTTATCTCGACGCTACGCGTCTCGATAAAAACCTCTCGACCAGTAATGAAGCATTTCCCGTCTCGGATTGTAATATACTATTACTGATATTAAGACGAAAAAGTTCCTATGATCAATCAACGATAATTTTATGGTTATTAACTTACAGTTATGGGATTTTGATTTTCATGTGACACCATGAAATGGTTGTACACAAGCTGTATAAATTTCTGGGCCACAGGGTTCCCATAAACTATTGGTCTCTACAAAAGGATTATTTGCTTATATTTATTAACAGACCGAGAGCCGAGAGGGTTTTTGCATGTATCATAGGCCCCACGCCAAGGCTTGGCGGCTGATAGACAACGTTATTCCCCACTTTGAATTCCCGGTAGCATTTTTGTATCGAGCGTCCAGCAACCCGCATTCGGGGTACCCGACCTCGGCACGTATCAAGCGCACGGTAGTACGAAAATCACTCGGACTACCGTATGCTCGATACTCGCGACTCGCGCCTACAGTCTCGAATATCTTTTTGAGTTTTCCTGGCTCCTCACCATCAAGCTACTTGATAATATGTATTAGTTTAATTTTGGTTCTGGTAGTCAAATCGTAAAGCAATTTTAATTCTAGTAGTTCACTAAGTGGAATGGAAAGTAGCAAAAAACTTAAAGATTAATAAGATTTTGCTATTTGCCTAGTTATTTGATGCTGTCTCTCACAAACTATCCCAAACTAACCCTAAGGCTGTCCTTACCTTAACCTTTTGCTCAGCTCCAATTTGGGTTAGTTTTGGTTAGTTTTGTTACTTAGAGACAGCATCATAAATAATTATTTACATCTGCCTGAATCTAATCTCCGCATTTGTCAAATAACGATTGCAGGACAGGTATACAAATCCCTAAGTAAATAGCAAAAATCTTGTTAATTTTTACCTGCTTTAAAAATTCGATTTTTAAATCGTTCTAACATATTTCAAAAAATAGGCGTTTTTTTTGGAGAAAAAAGTATACAGATGATAATGTCATTGGAAGAATGGCTAACACAATAATTCAAAAATGTTTTCGAAAAAACGTGAAAGTGGCCTATTCTATCTCGCCATGGTATTATATTCATGGTAAGGTTATGTAGATGAAACATAATTTTGCTCTTACTTATTCCCTTACCTCGACTTCCTGCTTAGTCTTGAAATTAGTTCGTATTTCGCTGGAATCGACAATGTGGTACATATAATTTTCTGGCCAGTGCATAATAAATGATAAACAATTAAAAAAAAAAAAAAAACTGAATTGTTGGACGCCGATCCATAATTTCGCAGAAGACTAGTATCAAGCGTACGGTAGCTTGACAATCGATCGGGAAATCAGACGCTCGTTATGAGACAGGCCTCGGTTAATACGACGTTACCCGAATGCGGTATACTGGACGCTCGATACAAAAATGCTTCCCGGTATAGCACTCCTAAAGTGTAGCTTTTAGGAGGGGTGAATTTTCAAACGTGTAATTGATATACATGCCCCTATATTATGGGCCCCAATCTGATTCTTGTTTTATGTCATAAAGGAGGTCGCCAAAGTCCGCGAACTCAATATGCCATACCAATATGGCGTCACTTAAGGCCCGCCATACTTACCGAAACGTGCAATTTTTCCACCATGGATATGGATCATGGGCCCCACGATGTTCTTTTGTGATCTTTGTTAACAATTAACTGCAGAACAAATATTTCAAAATGCCATACTCCTGGGGCGTCACCAAGTGGCCGCCATATAAATGCTCATTGCTAAAAATGACATGTTTGTCCTAATATGGCGGCCACTTGGTGACGCCCCAAGGGTATGGCGTTTTGAAATATTTGTTCTGCAGTTAATTGTTAACAAAGATCACAAAACAACATCGTTGGGCCCATGATATTTATCCACGGTGGAAAAATTGCACATTTCGGTAAGTATGGCGGACCTTAAGCGACGCCATATTGGCATATAGCATAATATTGAGTTCGCGAACTTTGGCGACCTTCACGACATAAAACAAGGCCTATGATCCAGGGGCATGGATATTAATTACAGGTCACCCCACCTAAAAGCTACACTTTAGGGGTGCCATACCGATAATTCAAAGTGGGGAATAACGTTGTCTATCAGCCCCCAAAGCCTTGGCGCAGGGCCTATGATACAGGCAAAAACACTTTCGGCTCTCGGTCTATAAATTTAAAAAGACTACCTTGTCACTTTCCCTCTGGCTTGAAGAAAAAAGTGATTTGTCTTCAAAAAAAGTATCTCCAAGGTTTATTGCTGTTACCTAAAAATTATTGGAAATTAATTATGGCAATGGTAATTTAAAATTGCTAATTTTACCGTATTTTCTGAGACGCTGGAACAGGGCAAAGTCTCCAGAACCCTGGGACAATGGTCTGTCATTTCTGTCATCGCTAATAGCAAAATCGGCACTTAAAATCGTAATATTGTGTGAGTATTAGGTTTAACTCACCTGAAGACGTTAAAATAAACCAGATAAAAGTCTTAAAGAATTCAAAGTAAACAGTTATAAAAAGCGTAAACACTTGAATCCAAACATCCAAACTAAAACTAGGTTTTAAACGCAGCACCGAAACACAAAAGCACAAAACACTACATGAAGAACCGATTGTGAATATAATAGAATAATAATGCAGAAAACGGCAAAAAACTGAAACAATTTCACACAAAAATCCGAATTCACAAATACAAAATTCAAAAATCCGAATCTGGATATTTTTATATGTCAAATCGAAATGTCATGTATCAATATTTGGTAGTTGCCAGGAAACAGCGGAAAAAAGAAGAGATTTGGGGATTTCTGGGGATTTTATTTTTTTTCGACTGGTGGAAATAACGATCAAAATTTAAACTCTATCGTGAATAAGACTATATATTCATCACCTTTCCCTATCAAATAGCATTGAAAGGTGATAAAATCTATGGATAAACTTTACTGGTACCAGTGGACATCGGATTGTGAACGGATAATATTCATATAATATATCACAAGAGCTTTAAATTTAATCGATTAAACATCCAACATATTTTGAGCATGATTTTACTTGGAAAATAGGTGAATGCTCAATAACTTAATAAAAGCCCGAGACCGCAAAGCGGTCGAGGGCTTTTATTTAAAAGTTATTGTGCATGAAACTATTTGCCAAAAAGTAATATTATGCAAAAAATATTTGGATAGTTTAATCCATTTAAATTTATAGGTCGAGTTGTATACGGCTAGATTATTTCCTGAATAATTAGGATTGAATTGTTGGCGTCAATCCTATCCAAAGAGTTCTATTTATTATAAAATGTCAGAATATTTCTATCAAAATTCTGTCAAAAAAGGTAAACAAAAATTTAATCGCTGATAAACAAGGTCTTGTGAAATAATCACTTATTTAATAGTATATTGTTGTATTAGGAGTAGAAGCTTTACTTTTTTGTGCTGAAGCAGTAGGTTTGCGAGCCGAACGTAGTGAGGCTTGCAATACTGCTAAAGCACAAAAAAGTGCTTCTACTCCGTATGCAACACGCTATTTTTTCTCCAAACGAATGGGGTAAGCTCGGGGGTAACTGAATGGTTAAGCGGCAGTAAAAGTACGAGCGGCACTAAAAGTACTTTTGCTGCCGCTCCAGCGGCACTAAAAGTACTTCTACTGCCGTTGCGGTTGCCTAGCAGCATAGAAATTAAATTTCTACCACCTCGACAGGTGTTAACCCGCTGGATTTGCCTACCAGCATAGAAATTAAACTTTTAACATCTTGACAGGTGCTGACAAAGTGACATTTTTTTGACGTTTGGAGAAAAACAAAATTTATTCAAAAAATGACAACGTCTGATGGGTCTATTTTATAATGAATGAAATAAACAACAAAATTTTAATTGTTTTTTCTGGTTCGACTTCTACTGCCGTTGTTCCGCGATGAGTTCGCGCTGATTTCCGAACGCATTATCGCGTTCAGTTCTTTCAAGATATGACAGTTCAATCAAAAATAATTATTTGGAAAGAAATGAAAATCAATTCCAAATTAATTTGAAATTATTCGTTCCAACACTTAGTCAGGCAAGTAACGGAGAAAGAAAAATAAGATGAAGTGGTAATTATATTGGAAAAATCAAAAACTGATGAAACTGGATATTCCAAAGCAGGTACTTATACCTACCTACTAAACTAGGTAATAAATGCAAATGAACACACTATTTTTGTTAATAGCCCATCTAAGTTTATTTTATTTGAATAATTTTTGGCAAACTTGTTGAATGCAATATTATCATAAACTGAATAACAACAGTAGTATACTTATACTTTCGTGTTTCATTAGTTATAAAATAATTGTGAGAGAGGATCAAGCCTCCTTGCATTTGCAACAGAAGTCACATTAGTCGTCACGTTCCTCGTCACATTCCTCGTCACAGTCGTCGCATCTGTCGTCCTAAAAACAACTAAGTTTAGACAAAATTACCCAGAAAACAAAACAACTTGGAATGGTAGGAAGTTATTTTAACGTTAGAAAGACCGATAAGTAACGGCTGAAACTAAAGTTTGTAATCCGAGGCGGTAGCCTATTTATAGCGCATCGTGTCTATCTGAATTGTCGAATGTAATACCACAAGAGGTTTCAGGATTACCGGATAATACTTTTACCTGTCACGAAACGCATTACGCAGCAAGCTGGTAACGCGTTGAGTGTCAGGTAAAAGTATTAGGTAATCCTGAAACATCGAGTGGTATTCAAAAGGTTATACAATGAACTAAACAAAATGAAAAAAAAAATCTATAATATAATTTGCTATAGTAATTGCCAGCGCGATAATCCCAAAAGGCTTATCACTTCTTAAGCCTCTCATGTCATATGGGAATAATATACAGTGAGTTGTATAATCTAGATAATTCGTTTCGAATGCGCTGGTAAAATTTTATTCGCGAATTTTCTAGTCATCAGAAGTAGGTGTTGTAACTTGTAAGATTGTGCATAATTACCCCAAACGCCTAGTACTGATCTTTTTTATTTTCTTTGGTTTTTTCCCTGTCCTTCTAGGACTCCTTTTTTGTCTTCGTGCTTCAGCTCCTAAAATAAAATTACGGTTTTTTCAACATAAGTACCTCTACGCCGATAAAATTATTAGTTATTTATTATACAAGACGGTAAAAAGATGCTTTACCTGTGAGTGAAAAATGTTGATTCACGAGCGACGAAGGAGCGAGTAGATTAATTCCGCGAACAGGTAAAGCTTTTTTACCATCGTGTGTAATATTCTATTTTATTCTTGAGCAACTTTTTATTTATCACAATTACTGAAATTTTACATAGAATATGACAAGTTGACAAAGTACCCAACAAACTGACACATTTCTGGTGTTCTCAATCGCGCAACATAACAGATTTCTGTCAAAAACACTATAATTATTATAAAAGATTTGAGCACGTGGGTAAAATTGACGTATGAGTTGGTAAAATTGACGTATGAGTGGGTAAAATTGACAAATGAGTGGGTAAAAATTGTTCGATTTCACTACTTCAAATAAAGTGTTACTTTAACAACGAGTTTTGAGTCGATTAAATGATAGTTTACCGTTCACGATACATAATTGATGATAAATGATTTATTTAAAATAAAAAATGAAACAGCCTATTTTGAACGAAATATAGTGCCATTTGCGGTCGAAGGTATTTTGATGGAACTTTGGTGCCAGTTGCGGTCAACCTTATAAATTTTTTAATATTTTTGATATGAAAGTATCAGATGCAGTCAACGTATGCAGGAGATATTTTCAAGGCATCGTTTTAAATCTCGCGTGTTATGATCTTATTTATGTTCCTTGCTTTGGAGGTTCAGTTTCTTCAAATTATTCTAACACTCGAAACAAGTAAGGGGACGAGAATTCCCAACTAAACGTAAGGGAACGTCTCTCTGCAAGTGAAGGGACGAACATATCTAGATCGCTTAAAGCAGAAAGTTAGGTCCTAAAGTAGGGGCACGTCCACAAGTGAGGGCACCTCAAAAAAGTAAGAGGACGTCTCAGTCAGAAAACGTCCCAAAGTAAGGGCACGTCCGAAAGCGAGAGCACCTCACAAAAATAAGGAAACGTTCAAAGTCAACGAACGTTCCAAAAGTGAGGAGACATCCAAAGAAATGGACTTCTACCAAAGTAAGGGCACGTCAATACCAAGAGGACGTCGTCTAATAAGGGAACGTCCGGAGCTAAAGTGAGGGCACGTCCCAAGTAAGGGGACGTCTTGCAAAGTTGGGGCGCTCTGCCAAAAGTAAAAGGGTGTGACCCAAAAAACAAGTAGGTAGGTACCCCACAAGGGGATACCAACCCAAAAATGAGTGGCGAGGAAGCCGCAGGCTACAATACTGAGGTAGCAGCGGACACTGTAGCAGCGGACACTGACAAATCATACCTCCCATTGTTATTTAAGATTGATGGAAACCTATGGAAAGATATTGTATCCCTTGCGCTATACTCCCACAATCAACAGCTAAACAAACTCTAGGCATGTCCAAGAAACTTCTGGAGCACACAAAAGGTATTTATTTGAAAAAATCTAACTGAAAACTTAAAAAACACTGTAAATTGCCTAGGCAGTAAAAATACAACTTTTGATCCTGTCAAGTGTCATTAAAAGGCCGCTTTTACTGTCATTCGGAGAAAAATGTAATTTCTATGCTGCTTGGCAACCTCAGCGGCAGCAAAAGTACTTTTAGTGCCGCTGGAGCGGCAGTAGAATTACTTTTAGTGCCGCTGGAGCGGCAGTACAATTACTTTTAGTGCCGCTCGTACTTATACTGCCGCGCAACCATCCACTTGCCCCGAAGCTTGCACCATTCGTTTGGAGAAAAAATAGCGTGTTGCATACGGAGTAGAAGCACTTTTAGATGGGCACAAACCCTAGACAACCTCCGTCCCCAAGATAACTCTTAATGGCGCCTTACGTCAAGGATGAGGGCGATGAGGCGGCAGCCTGTACGCACCCCTGCTAGGCGGAAGCTTTGGCTTCTTTCCTGGAGAGCGATCATTTCGGACTCCCACCCAAGTAATGCTTCTGCTCCTAATACAACAATATACTATTTTGTACGTACACGGCCAGACAAAACATTGACGTCCCAGAAATTTCCTAGATTCCATCGCTTGAACACCGATGCAGCCTTCATCATTATGAAAACCCCCCTCCCAAATAAAAAACCTGGGTGCGCCACTGTAACAAACGCAATCCTAAAACTGCATTTTCCCTTTCAATGGAAAATGGTTGTGGTATCGTAAATGAAATACGGAGATGGCCACAAAACTTCAATAAAGAAATTAGAGGCGGATTAGGACACTGGTGGGCCCGGTGCTTATTTATTTTTTGGGGCCCCTATTTTTTCAGATAATTAAAGGAATGTGGAAAAAAAAAATCTGTTAGTTTATCAACTTTATACGCACGCACATGAAAAACATAAATAGCTCTGTTCCAACCGACATGAAAACCGTTCTAGAACGGTAATTTCCAGTTCCCCACCAATATTCCAAAAGGTTGAACGTTTTACCTAATTGACAAATGAATTGATCGACTGAAAATTACCATTCTAGAACGGCTCTCATGTCGGTTGGAACAGGGCTATTTAAGTCAGAAATAATTATTGTACCAAATAATTATAATATGATTTCTAGTCTATGTCCCTAACAATTAAATTTAGCTTCCACGGGGATTCACGCACGAATCACCTAACCTAGAACTATTGATGATTATAATAATGCTGTCAAAGAAAGGTGTGCGTCTTTCAGTTTTCACTGTATTCAATACTTGTTCACTGCGCCATGGGTTCACTGCGCCTCTATCGAGATCGAGAACAGGTTTAACTGCTTTAAGCTTCAACCTATTGAGCCATGTTGTGATTCAATATAGCAACATAGTTATAGGATTATGGTTTATAATCTTATCAAGCTAGCTTTTAGGGGAATTTTGGCAATTTTTGTTGAAAAAATTTTGTCTAATCTTCGATCTCGCGAGGGCCCCTTGGAACGTTAGGCCCGGTTCTATAGAACCAGTAGAACCCCCCTTAATCCAGGCCTGAAAGAAATAAAAACTCACGTCTGCTAGAACCAGTACAAATTCTCTAACTTTAGGTACATGCATCAGAACATGACAACGTTCTTGAAACTTGAAAAACTTCAAACTGACTATTATACCTGCTAACTGTCATGTCATAGCTTTGATTTACCTGACCTTATTTACTAATTATTTAAAATCTATGTTGAACAGGCAGAACCTACACGATATTACAATACCTTCTCTCATAAATTTAAACATACAACTGGTTTAATTGTTCTTCTAGGTCTTTCATTAACATTTAATTTTTCAGACCTAGAAAAATCTTTTTTCTTTGGCGTACACCTTTTTAAAGGACTATCGTCAATTTCAACCTGTATACCTGTATTGATTAACTCATTATTAGGATTCATATTCAAACTGTTGTTGTTTCCATTTGGCAATTCAAAATTCTGTTCTACAATAGGTAATTGGTTTTGTAATACTTAATTCTGTATCTTTAAAATGTATAGTATCTAGCTCTTTGTAAACAGAATTTCAGTTCGCCAAAGATGACTGATTTTCCAAATTTTCTTTACAATGAAAATTACATACATCGGGATCTGACAAATTACGCCTAAACTAGTCAAGATGTCATTTCCATACTAAATGTCCATGTAAAAGCTGCTGAAACTACTTTATTGAAACTGCAAAGATATTTCTTATTCCAAAACCAAACTTTGCTGTTATAGCAAAATTAAAATTTTATGAAAATATTTCTGCTTCTCCGAAATAGAACTTTTCTAAGATAGATAGATACTTTACTGTTGCAGCAAAAAAAAATTCCTGTAATTTTTGTTATTGTTACAGTAATGTTTTTTGCTACCCTAGCCAAATAACTTAACTAAAAATACTGTTCGGACATTTCCGTGATTTCTTCGGGTCCAAAAATAACCGATAAAATATGTTTCGTGTTCATTTTTTTCCATTTTAGTTTAGTAGCTAACGCCGTACGGTGTGGATCGTGGATGCTGTCGAGTCAAGTCGAGTGTCGGTCGCTGAGAATCTTTTTGGAAATGGTGCCAGCGCATCCATCAAAACTAGCAGAAACAACTCTAGCGCCAAACTTTTCATTAATTGACATTATTTCAGATCAGGTAATGAAAGCCCAACAAACACAATTACATTCCAAAGACGTACATAAGGTGTAACGTTATGACATACTGTACGTTCGTAAGACGTCGATTTTAGAGCCAAGTACGTCTTGAAGACGTAATGGGCAAGTCGTATGTCAACTCCATAATACGTCTTAAAGACGTACAACTAGAGCCATAAAGAACGTCCATAATACTTCTTGAAGACCTAATTAAGTACATATTCGAGGGGTGCGTAAATGTTAAAAAAGTATACACCAAAATTAATTATTAGGGTATTTAAAGGTATTTAAATGCTATTTAAGTAAAAAGCTAGGCATTTAAAGATATTTAAATGAGTATTCAAAAGTATTTTAAATATAAAAATAATCAATTTAGAGGATCCAACCGAGATATAAAAGGATTTAAATTGTATTTAAAAGCAAAGTGTACACCATATTTAATTCTCTGCGCACCCCTCGTACATATTGCAAACCAAATAAAAGAGGATTTTTTTACTCAAATCGTTTATTATTTATTCGCTATTAGCTTACTAAACCTGGAATAACCACAAAAGAAAAACATTAATTTAAAAGTATTGCAACTATACCCAGCGTTGCCAACTTAGCGGATTTCCCGTCATATCTAACGGATTTTGTTGGAAGCAAGCGGAAAAAAAACAGTTTCAACGGGTGACGGATTTTTTAACGGGAACTAAGTTTCCGTTTAAAAATTCTAAATTTTGTTCTGTAAATTTAATAGACTGGTTGTTTAGCGATTCAAGCTACTTTTGGTCTGTAAACAAGCCTTTACGGAAACGTTGATCCGACTAGCCTTATCACCAGCTAATATTACCCGTCTTTTTTCAATGGTGTTCATTGAAAAAAGATAAAATCCAAATAGCCGGTGATCGGGAGAATT